CCGATGAGATGGGTGTGAGACAGCCTTCGTCGTTACTTATTATTTATTGGAACGGGAGAGATATTGGCTGTCTAATCTCATCGGGATAAGATATTAATGACACAGAGACACGTATCTGTTTTTATGCATGCAGTTCACCGTTAAATTAAAACGTTTTTAATTCAAGCGTTAAAATGAATCGGTGGCCTTGGGAATGTAAAGTGAATATCGGATGGAGAAGTATCGGACGACCATGTTTTGTTAAACTTCTGTACATTTTTTAAAGGCCGATTGTGGCATTTTTTGCTTACACAATTTCTATCCTCTCCCCATTAAAAATCTTTTTAAAATTAGCCACAGAGTGTATATTGCCTACGTAAAAAGTAATCTTTGTAGTTTGCCATTATCTATTTTGTAAATCTCATCCTCTAATAAGAATCTCTATAATCACCATGCTGTCAAGAGTACATTTAAAACAACTCTATGCCAAGGCTCGGGAACTTATATATGGTGGTATCATGCGTGAATAAAAAAAACGTGCGTGCGTGCATCTACGTGTGTTGTTCTGATAGTGACTCAGTTACTATATATATATATATATATATATATATATATATATATAGCTATGATTCAACCTTCACATTAGTTTACGCATCATTACATTCTTTGCAGGTCAGGTAACGATGGCAACTCGGCCACCCGAACTCAATGTCAGTTCATCATTTTACGACATCCCGCATGGTGACACGTTCACGATTTTCTGCTTGGGAGACATTCCTATCGAATGGGTGTATGACGTAAGTGAATGCTCAGCTTTCGACACAGTACCGCCCCGGGACGGTACGCGCGAAACCAGTTTGTGGGTTAATCGGTCAGTCCTTGCATTTTATATGCATAGATATTGGTCGGGACCATGTGAACATGAAAGTGCGATGCATTGTTGCAAATGTCGTACGTCTGCGACTCCCACGCAGCCAATCTGCCGAAACGATCTCGCACGCACTCGGTTTGCCGATTTGCCTTCTTAAATTTACTCTCATAAATGGCATCTGTATATATATAGTCTGATTGGCCTGTTTAAATATTGGTGCGTTTATGCACTCCCGCGTGTTCATGCACTTAGCCGTGCCCATACGAGATATCCACCACGCGACCCGGCAGCAGCATGTATTTTATGCTATCAGCAAGACGACCCTTCAATAGATGTAAATGGCCAGCTAACTTACTCGCTACTCTATAGCCTGCTTGACCCACACCACTGACTGTGTAATGGTGTGTGGTTGTGCGCGTTAGTGTGGGTGGCTGGGTGGGGGGGGGGGGGCTTGACATATAGACTGTACCAGGCGCAAGCGGCTAAATGACATGTTGTGTGTCACGGTCAAATGCTTTAATTCGCCCACGGGGCAAGCCCTGAAGACGTCACGACACCACGCACCCATTAATTACCTACGAAGCCACTGGGACAAATAGTTAATCGTGTGTATAATGTTTTCGTGACCAAAGGCAGGTCACGATTCACTCTTTTCGTCCTATAATTACCATATTTCCTCCCGTGTGATTTCACGGACGTTTTCCCAAGACCCGAGATGGGCCGTGACTCGTTCATTTCACCAGATTTATGTCTCTCCTCTCCTCAGGATTTCGGGGAGCCAAGTCCGATTACGATTTGCTGCTTTTATGCAGTAGTTGCCTCTGCTCTGCTTTCCTCTCATCAGTGTTTCGGAGAGCTAAATTGCACTTTGGCTCACTTCGTCCACCTGACAATCGTCTCTCCTCTACTAGGGAGTTCTGAGAGCCATGTCAAGCCGTGACTCGCCCCCTTTGCCCTTTAATTGCCTCTCCTATCTTTGAAATTTCGTAGATGGCTTCCCTTAACATTTTGGGGAGGTCTTCCCTTAGGATATATCTTCGAGGGTTTTCCGAGCACCAACATGGGCTCGTAATCACGAGTTCCCTTCTTCATACAATCCCTTCTCCTGTCTATAGGGTTTTACAGTCGGTGTTATAAAAGCTAACTCAAATTAATAATCAATTAATTGATCGTAATTAATCACCTGTCGGTCTCTCGTCGCAGGATTTCATGGACGGCAACGTGCGCGTCAGCGTGACGGAGGTAGCGAGTCCGGCAACGACCACCTATGACCACGCGAGCATCCTCCGTCTGGTCAACGCGCAGTTCAACGACACGCGCATGTTTGCTTGCCGCTACGTGGCAGCTGCGGCGGCGGGGGGCGGCGACGCCAAGGACGCACAGCTGCTGGACACGCAGGACAGCAGCTCGACTAGTATCTACCTCTATGTGAATGGTAAGACAGAAGGCGTTGCATCTCGCCCGCGCGGGTGTGTGCGACCGAGGGGGGAGTGGGGAGGGGGCACATGCTGCGGCTGAGATAATCCGCGCTGAGATGCCATTTGAATGTAGTGTCTGGGTTTTAATTTTTTATGTAGGCCAGATTTAGATCTGACTATCTAACCCGTTCACAATTGAAATGGAGGTTAACATTGCAATTTGAAAGCTGACATTTTAATTTACGTTATTATCACAATTACACCGATAAAAATTGCCAAAAAAAGAAGCAGCCAGGTAGTTCCCCAAAGTATAAATATTAGGGGCCCAGCGCAAATTTTAGAGGCTCAGCTTATTGTATGAAGGGGACAAAGTTTGGAATTTGTGTCCTTGGAAATTGACACTAGAATATGTGCTCTATTATGCATCATGAACATGAAAATTCTGAGCAAATGTTTTGAGGAAATAACTGCAGACATGTCTTTCCTTGCAGTTTTAAATATAGACTGAAATAGTTTTCATGCTAGTGGTAACAAATGTATCAGGATCCTAGGAAGTGTTGAGCTAATCGTATTGATGCAATTGTAGCACTCAAACCGTAGTGATACCACAGGTTGGAATGGAATTGAGGGGAACAGGAATTGAATGTATATACAAATAACATTTCGCATTTTGGGTGACTCTTTAATGAAATTATGGGTGCAACATTATGTTTAATCAGCAAGGGCAACGGGGCGAGTGTTAATTTTAATCACTGCAACTGAGCTCCATATTGTTCTGCAATGACCACTTCTTTTATAAAAACTGTAGCTTGGTCATTAATTTAATCAAAAATGAAGTTTATGTAAAAGTTTTGACTCCACGTGTTTTCGTACATCAAAGCAATTTAGACTACTTCAATGTCAAGTGTGAATTATTGATTACTCGTTTTTCATTGGTTTATGAGGAGACATTTCCTATATAATATCACCTCTGCATAATATGGTCATGCTCAAAATTCACAATAGGGTTAGTTTTTTGCACCATAAATTATCTGGCGCTAGATACAATTACGCAGTAAAAACCCTGCTGTCTTTCTTACTACCAAGTTAGGCCGTGATTTGCTCCTTGGACACAATTTAATCACCTCTTCACTCCGCAGCGATTCCGGCGCCGACGATTGGTTGTGATTTCCTATTTTTACCCCTTATAAGCACCTCCCGACTCCGCAAGAATTCTGACACTTAGGTTGGGTGTATGACCTGCTCCTTTTGCCCCCCTATTATTGCCTAGTGCCTCCTTGTGATCTCGCAGGCAGTTTATACAGAGCGAAGTTGGATTATGGCCCCGTTATACCACATGATCAAAATATCTTTTTGGGGAGGAGGTATAATCAAGATTCTCTGCTCGTCCTGCCACGTGCCGCACATACCGATTGGTAAACCTCTCTTCTCCAGAAAGCATAAACCCTATATTTATAGTCTGAGTAGTAATTGGTTTAGATTGCCGGCATACAGTCTGTGTGTTCTTCCAAGGTTCAATTCTTAGAAATAGTAGGTTGAATGTGTGTGTGGGGGGTGTGATACGTGTGCCTGCGTTAGCAGATTTATTATCACTGCCTGGCTGCGGGATCATTATCCGCCCGGTAACAGTAACATACATATATATTAGCGGGCGGATAATGATCCTGCAGCCAGGCAGTGATAATAAATCTGCTAACGCATTATATTTAATATACATATATGCGTGCGTGCGTGCGTGCATGCGTGCGTGCGTGAGTGAGTGCGTGCGTGAGTGCGTGAGTGAGTGCGTGCGTGAGTGCGTGAGTGAGTGCGTGCGTGCACGCATGCGTGTCTAGTGTAAGTTGGTGGACGTGATCCTGCCGTCAGGGATGTTTGGTTGGCGTAAATCTGTGTGGACTCGCTCGAAATTCTTCACGCTTCAGTAGTCAGTACGATTAAACGCAGAGTAGACAGAGCAAGTTTACGGGGTTGAATGTGGCCAACACGCCAAGGTTTATGATGGCATGTGTTGATATATACATAGGTCCGATTGAATTGAAGGGCCAACACTGCAGGTTATGGCATGCTAGCACAAGCTCACCCTGCACGTACACACATTAACAAGCAAAGTAGTGAAGTGACGCGAAATTCTTGTACAGTGTGTTTTCATGTGTTATTTATGTTACGCGCCTTTGTAAATAGGTATAAAAGTCTCGCGCGCACCGCACCGTTACTTTCGATAATTAAAAAGGCATGCTGATATGATATATTATGCCTTACTGATGCAAACATAGTGTAGCGTCACTGTTCTTACACATTTGCCAGCAATGCAGCAAACCACAAGCTGTTAATAATTATTATGTCTAGCATCATATATCAAGGGTTTGGTTTTTAGCTCATCTGACATAGTCAGATGCAGCTTGTAGAATCGCACGATCGTCCGTGCGTCCGTGCGTCCGTCAGGTTTATAAATTATTATTGCGATATACAGATGGCAATCGTTTCTATAATGTACGTCGATGGTTGCTCAATTAAAACTGACTTCTTCTTACTCACTCATTTGTGTCCTTTTTTGTGGTGAGCTACAGTGTCATTGACACTTTCATTACATGAACTACCAGGCTTCTTTGCACACGAGAGCATTGCATTGTTATGCTGTGCTGAAAGTGAAAATATTTCACCTGAAATTCTATTATGTTTGTGAAGGATAAAAATATTAGTAATTGGAATTATGATGAAAAATGTTCTAACAGGTACCCTTGATCACATGGGAGTTTCAAAAGTGTCTGACAGATGCTTGCAATCTAACCCCGAACAAGTGGATTGATGTAACAAGTCAGAAGCACCTGTCAACAAACATGGAAAATGCCAGTGACCCACAACTAGGCAAGCATGCATACTCATCTCTGGTTCTAAAATCTTGCATTCTGTGTTATTACATATCAATTAGCTTTAGTCTCTTCACAGAGATTTTAGCTCTGTTGTAGTGAATAACATATTTTGCAGCTTGTAAGATGCTCCTGAACATTAAGCTCACCTCAAATATAGAACTTGCTAGACCGAAAAAGTGACTGCCTAATAGCTCTTCCCTCTACCTGGTATGTCCAAATAAACCCATATCCTCGTTTTTTTACATCTCAAATTCTCAGGATTTTGCAAGACCTCACTATCATTATTGGTTAGTATATACTGTAAGCTATTCCACCCAGGTGTATGATATACCAGATTATTACTAAATAATCCTGTCTCCTAAACTGACTTTCAGCTTATAGGGTGTAAGGTTAGAGATTTTCTTGAATACAAAGTAAATCGTATAAGCCACAAACTGTAGTAAATTCTGACTCGTTGCTTGCAGGGAATGACGAAGCCTCTAGTGCTTTGTCTGTGTTTGCTGTGGTGTCTGGAGTCTACCGTTGCATAGGGCGCAACAAGCTGGGAAAGAACAGCACCCAAGTCCCATTCTATGTGTCTGGTAAGTTGCTGCGCAGCAGCAGTTGGTGTCTGCCATGAGGAGTCATTAAAGTTACACAGCTGTATCTTTATTACTGTACTACCAGTAGGTATAGCAAAGCCTATCATAGATTTTAGATCTGTATTAGTAGTATCAGGAGTAGATAATAGGGAATCCCTATAAAGGGTTCCCTATAGGGATTCCCTATTATTCTTATGGGGAATCCCTATGGGGATTCCCTATTAGCTACTCCTGGTAGTATCCTAGATATATATCAGGAGTAGATAAAGGAGTTTATCTACTCCTGATATATATGCTCTGAGCGCGAACGCGGTGGCAGGAGGGCGCACTTGATTCGGTTGCCAGTGAATTTATCAGAAGAATACCTGGCTACAGTACATGTCAGTTGAGCGCTGTCGCTCAGGGGCACTTGTTACCTCCGCCAGGGGCTTGGCTTACATTGAGAGAATTCAGCTACCTTGGCGGAGGTCTGTGCTCTCTGAGTGCTCTAGTTTAATATATAGCCTCTGTAATAGCATCTAATACGACCATATGTTGGGGTATCACTATCAGACGGAAGTGCAGGCATGCGTGCACTATTTGCGTTTTTCAGATCCAAATAATTGGTATGCGCTGGCTCCTGGAATGATGGCCGGACTGCCACTGATGTCAGTAGTTTTTAGTCAGGACCCGTTTAATATACCGTGCCGCCCAACCAGCTCTAATATAGACGTTGTACTGGAGAAGAATATTAACAATGGCGAAGTGGTGCAATTAGGTAAGTTATTGATTCCAAAGTTCCTCCATTCTCACGTCTGTTTTGTGTTCTATTCTCACGTCTATTTTGCGTTCTAGCTGCTGAACTTCTACTAACCTTGCATCTGCTCAAAAGAAAACCATAAATTTATCACCATAATAAACATCAGATATATGAGCAGGAGTAAATAATCACAAATTTTTTGATTATTTACTCCTGACATGAGTTATATAATTATATATGTTGTTAGGTATCTGTACGTTGTTCGGGGTAACTATATATCAGCTATAGTTGAAGTTATTGCATTGGATCGAGGTAGTGATACGTCTGTGTCATGGCTATATTAAAGCCAAATACCTTGATGATAGTATATGCACTGCCAGTTACACCACATCAAGCATGTTTTTTTTCTGTGCCTCGTTCTAGGTGATGATGTTGTCTATAATCCATTTACCGGGTTTGCAATCAAATATCCGAACATCTTTTACGATAATGACTTCACTTGTATTTATCACCAAAATGGACAAGAAAAGAAGGTCACAGTCTTGCTGCATTACAGCCGTAAGTGCATTTAATTACGACAATTTACCGTTACGGTGATCGCTTTGTGCCATTATACTTGCAGAGAATGTGTAATAAAAATGTTTGAAATAAAAAAGCAATGAATAAATTTGATTACTATACAGATCACAAGACAACTTGAAAATACATCTGGCATTATATAATAAATATGTGTTATTGCATTGTTTTAAGATTTGCAAAAAAAAACTTTTCAGCCAAGACGGATTATGTGGCACCACCTGAGATTTTAGAAGAAGGCACAGAACATCTGGTCATTGGAGATGCATTTCGGTTGACCTGTGTGGCACGTTCCGAAGGCTCAGTGTCACTGTTTCTGCAGTGGGACAACATACAGGTGAATATGCTAGGTCATTATCGCCTGACATTCTTGTTTTATGTCAAGAAAAGACAATAATCCAATAGTTCATCAGGTATCCAGTTAAATAGTGCATGTATCAAAATCATGTCCTCTCAACTGTTGATGTAGTATTCCCCCCATAACCTTTTGTTTGTCTGTTGCTTCCTTGATCTGTTTACTATATACCTATATATATCGAAAACGAATTATGATACACACTATGTATTACATGTATGTAACCTTACATTGTGTGGAGACGTGTTGTTTCAAGTTTCATTATGGAAGAAAAAGCAAATATTGTATGTGCATGTCCTCAAGACCTTGGTGTTTTGTTAATACAAAAACTGCCTGAAAATCACTTAGATGGCAGGAAATTGCATATAGAATTCAATTAGGTCCTTTGGGGCACGCTCCCAGACCCCCTAGCAAGACACGGTGCTTATGCAGACCTTGCTCGACTGTAAAACATTTCGATAATTTTCTTTAATCCTGGCTACTTAGGGCTGCCAACACCCATGGTATTACCCTGCATCCTCGTTATACCTCTAATGCTGTAGAGCTCGTTTCCTTTCTCACAGTCGACGGACGATGGCAGGGTGACGGTGACGTCACCAACGCAGTCGGTGGACAGCAGAGGTAACTACGTGTACCGGGAGGTCAGCACCACACTGCGTGTCACCTCCGCCACACTCGCCGACAAGAAGGTGTATCGTTGCAACGTGCACGACCACAACAACATCGGCAACCACGTTGATACGATAGTGTTTGTCTACAGTAAGTTGCAGATTGGGCAGGTGCGAAATTCTGAAAGTTTGCAACAAGGACCTTGTGCGGAAAGGTGTGGGGTTTGAGTGCCACCTTGGTCACTGCTGTTGTGCCATCAGGCAAGGCTGTTTATCACTATTACCTTCAGTTGATGCCAACTGGAGAGTAGGGTCTTGCAATGCTACATGGAGAGTAACTTCATCCTGTCAAACAACCACCTTACAGAAACCATAGTAACACTGTTGCCACAATCCTATATTCCATAAAGAACCAGCATGAGAAACATTACCATTTATTGGAGTAAGTGTCCCTCACGTGCATGAGAGCTGGTGAGTTCGAAGGTCACTGTGAGAGTGCAGACATTAAGACCTCTGCACGTTGCAAGTGCATTTACACTGTAGAGACTCACTTGTAACTGGGAATAACTGGAGAGGGGTAACAGTAGGTAATATTGATTCATCATTGTTACCTCCGCCCAACGGAGTTGGAGGAGGTTATGTGATCGCTCTTGTGTGTTAGTGTGTTCGTGTGTTCGCGCGATCGATATTAGCGAGTCGAGTCAGCGAGCCAGCCAGCCAGCGCAGCGAGCCAGCTCGTAACACATACATGTTACATGCTGGCGGAGGTATGCACTCTCTGTGAGTGCCCTCTGTCTAGTTTATATTGTTTACCTAGTTGTAACCACATGACATGCCGAGTACCGTCGTGGTTGCATCGGATGAGCCCGCAACGTCTGGTGTCAGATAATTACTCAGCGGCCCCGGCCTTTTCCTAGACCACCAGATGAAAAGGTTCGGGGATGGTCACAAGTTTCTGTTGGCGCGCTTGTGTTTAGCATTCAATGTTCGATCCCCAGATTCGTCGCAGAGTTTCGTACAGCTGTCGGCTGACATCTCGCACTTAGAGGTGCCACCGGGTCAGAAAAATGTCACGTTCGTGGTCAATATCCGCGCATGGCCACGGCCGCTCCTGCAGTGGCATAAGGGTATGTGTTCATATTGTTCAGGAATAATTGTTGAAGATTAATACATCTTGCAGAGCAGCACAGAATTATTAATATTATTTAGAGTGTGTGGTATATATATGATGGCTTCAATCATCCTTGTGTTAGTGCATAATTATATAGTAACTATTCATGTTTATACGATTAGTCATTAATACAACCTTTCTTACAGTAGTAGTGTAAAAGGTATTATTCATATTTACAGGTCTAACCATTGGGAGCTAGTCATTCCTGAACTAAGGAAAAGTGATGTATTCACATTTCAATTGGTTTCTTCTTTGTACATGATGTTAGGCCTCGGTACAACGTCCTCTCTTTTTATGTATCTCGCCTGAAAAGGATATTGAGTTTTCCTTTGTGCGTCGCAGGCGACAAATTCATTCCAAACATTGGTAACTATGAGATGGGTAACACGTCGACGAGTGCCTACCTGCGCATCCTGCAGCTGGAGCCACGCGACGCCGGCGTCTACACGTTCTCAGCGCGCATTCCTGACGGCACCGAGGAGCACATCAACATAACGCTCGTCATACATGGTGAGCCGACTGTGTGTGAACGCCCGACGCATCGGGCCGTGCGTGGCCCCTGTCACTTTCCTCTGACTTTCTCTCCCTGTTCTTCCCTCCCTCCCTCCCTCCCCTCTCCTCTCTCATTCTCTCCTTATCTCCATCTCTATTTCTATCTCTGTTTCTATCCTTATCTCTCCCCTCCTTCCATCCTTCCCTCCCTCTCTTCCTCCCTCCCTCTGTCCCTTGCTCCCTTCATCCCCCCTCCCTCTCTCCCTCCCTTGCTTCCTTTCTCTTTTCCTCTCCTGTGCATGCGTGTGCATGTGTCATTGTGTCTTAGATATACGTGTTAAATATGTTTATCGTTGATTTACTTTATGATATCAGACAGGAGCTTTGCTGTTTTTCTGTTTGTCAGCTGAGTGTGTCAAGCGCCATACCTGATTACAATTTAATGTGACTATCAAGTAATCTTAAGCATAATTTGAACAATGTGCGTGTTACATTTTATGCGGAGACAGGTGTACACTCTATCAGGGTTCGTAGCGGGTCTTCCAAAGTCTTATAAGTACTTATTTTGCCGAAAATAAAATAAGGGCCCTTATT